CATACTTACCATTCGGTGGAGCATCAGTTTCTTCCCATGTAATCTAAGACACAAAAAAACGAAATTAAATCAACAGATCCCAAAATTCACGTTTTGAACTTACAAACAATGACATCCCATTTGCATTCTTTTATTGGTATGAATATATCGACATGAACACTCGAGAGTCGGCCAAGTAAATCAAAACCATTTCGACCCTACCAAAGTCATGACATATAACCCCAGAGTCGTCCAACTTTTAGCCCTTTTGATAGGGCGGCTATCCACATGTGTCTCAAAGTGACGTCCATTTTTGGTGCACCGGAATATGATCTGGGATGGGAAGAGAAAGATTTTTTTTCTCCGGTGGGCTTTCTCTCGTAAAGCCAAGCCCCAAGACAAGGTACAAAGAGAACTTGGCTCAACATATCGAGCAATCGGAACAAACCCCGCATTATCGAACACCAAATAATCAAGACACTGCAACATATATATGATACATGTTCAACAATGATGGGCCTAAATTATAGTTCTTTGTCTTAAAACTAGACAAGCTCTTAATAAGAACAATCCAAAATGTCAGCATGTTTCAAAGGGTGGAACCAACAAGCCATTCAGAGAGCTAGTTCTTTAGTTTATCATATTTCTTACATACGCTAGAGACAAACAAAACGATGAACAAACTCAGACAATCAAATGAAGCAAAATTCAGTGATTCAAAAGTAGATATGATAGCAAATGAGAGGTTTACCTCAAGCAAACGCCATGGAGAACCCTTCCACGGGTCGTGCTCAGGAATAGATACTGAGATTATAGTCCCTTGATGCCATTGAGTTCTCAAAGTATCCTCCGTCTCGGTGGGCAATTTCACTCTTATTCCAGGATACCACTGATATTTCATCGAATTGTTGACTATCTCAACTGGGACAACAAATTGGGACAAACCAGTTCTGGGATAGAAAACCACCTCGAATGGCTTGAATTGCGCAGCCAATTCGGCGGCGGTGGCAACCACCTCGGGTGGCACCCTCCCAATAGTGCGGCGGGAGAAATTTCTTGGATCTCCATCTCCAGAAGGATTTTCCTCCACTCTGCTGCATTCGCTGCCTGTAAAAGGCCTATTGGATCTGGCGCGACGAATTCCAACGAACATTTCCCCTCTCGAATTCTTCGCGAAAACGACGGAATCGCCCGCAATTAGTTTCTTATGATTAACGAACTTACTCCATCCAGTAGTGAGCAAATGGCGCCTCGGCGTCCCGCGGTAAATGTGGCGGAATTTCCAAACGACTCCATGAACATCAGTGATCGCCAGAGTCTGCACCGGCGGATCAGCCTGAAAATTCAACGGAGGAAAAATAGAGACAGCACAGTACCGCGGCACAGAAAATCCTCCGCCATTATTAGCATCAGAAGAGGTAAGAACCTTGGCAAACTTCGAAATTACATTAACTTCAGAACAACCTAATCGAGAAACCACTTCAGACCGCCCCTCACCAGGCCGAATGGGATGAAGATTTATCTTAATAAGTACCTCATCAGTAAGAGCGTCGGCATCTAAACCAACACCAGTAACGAGACATTTAGAAACCGGATTAGAGAGAACAGCCGGCGATAGTTTTGGAGCATAAGTGGCTTGCTCGACATGTCCTTGAACGAAATAGTATACCTCAGAACCGACAGTGTGCAAATGGGCTAAATCTCCTGCAAAAGCACGCCAAAGTTTGGGGTCCATCCTGCCGGAATCGAACCGCCGGCGATCGAACAGCAGAAGGAAGAATAGAAAATTGTCGTCTTAGGGCAACAAGAAGATGGAAGAAAGAAGAAACACTGCAAGAAATTACGAGAAAGTGAGATGAAATTAAATGTTAGGGTTTGTTGGGTGTTCTTATAGAGGATTTTGGGGGAGGTGGGAGAGATTTGCGAAGAACTGTGACTGTCTCCATTTTCTCTCTCTAAAGAATCACAGACATTTTGAAGAGAGAGAGAGCGAAAATGGCGTATTCAGTCGGAGAAACAGGAATCGGCTACGAGGGAAGAACAGACTTACGTAACAGAATGACTCCAAAATGGTGCTCAATTTACGGTTTTACCCTCGACAGTAACTGAATATCTGATTTTGTTAATCTTTTTTTTAAATAATTTAAATTCCCAATTCCATGTTTTATTTTATTCAAAAATTATAAATTTTAATCTTTTATTTTTTTATCCGTAAATTTATGAATAATTCAACCTGACGTTTAATACGGTGAAGTCGAAAGCTACGCGTAATGGTAACAAGCAAAAGCAGATAATATCTATGTTGAAGCTGATGACTACACTTAACGTTAACCAACAAGACACAGCCAACAATATTTATGTTGGTAGTTTTTTAGGTTAAAATAAAACCGGTTATAAATAAATTTAAGAGTTTAGAAATATACTAAGATATAAATTTATGGTTTTTAAATTTTGAATTTAGATTCGGAAGATCACGTGAAGATTTACTTTTAATTAGTTATTTAAAAAATGATAATTTATT